TAGGTAGATGTTGGACAGAAAAGAAGTAGGTCATACAGTACAGGTACTGGCAGGTGTCCTTGGGGCTGAGACAGTCCATGGTGCCGAGCACTGGGTGAGATCTGTGGTGGCGGGGGGGGGGGGGGGGGTTAGTTTAGGTAGATGTTTGATAGGACAGGAGAAGCAAACCACACCAGAGTACCCGCCAACCACCCACGATAGATGTTTGACAGGACAGAAGTAGGTCAGACAGTGCAGGTACTGGCGGGTGTCCTTGGGGCTAAGACAGTTCATGGTGCCGAACAACGGGTGAGACCTGTGGGGGTGATTTTAGGTAGTTTGGGTAGAGTTTTACGGCACTTGCAACACACTCATAATAGTAGGGCCATGCAAGTGCGGAAGATTAGAGGTGTTGTAAGAGAGTAGCAAACATAAAAAGAAGGGGAGATAAGGACGATAGATGTTTGATTGGAAAAAAGAAAATGTTACTGCAGTGTAACGTACAAAGTAAAGAAGGAGGCCAACGTCATAACTTTGTTTGTTTCCACTAAAACCCTTCAGTGACTGTCCCCACAACGGCTGGATCGGGCCGATCGTCCGACCCGGTCGCCCGAAGCTGAAAACAAACACGTTCGTTTTTGAGGCGACAGAGTCAGGCGATTCCACCCGTAGTGGGCACCCTGTATTACTCCAACCAACAAAATCCACGCAGTGACTGTCCCCCGGAATCTGCTCCCTGGTGCTCACCCTTCCTTGCCCTCCTTGGCGTTGAGCTCGACGGCCGTGTACTGCTGTGAGGGGTCAAGGCTCACATGCTCCATGTAGATGGGACCGGGTGTGATGTTCTGGATCTGGGCCTCCAAGTACACCTCGTCAGACTGAAACAACAACACAGCGTCACCACACGTCATCAGACGTCAACACACGTCACCACACGTCATCACCACATGTCACCACATGTCACCACATGTCAACACACGTCAACACATGTCAACACACGTCAACACACGTCAACACACGTCACGTCACCACACGTCACCACACGTCACCACACGTCAACACACGTCACGTCACCACACGTCACGTCACCACACGTCACCACACGTCACCACAGCACTCAGCTTTCCATCCTGTCCCCGTCGTTTTATGCACACACAAAATTCTGAAATTATGCAAACTGAGCCCAAAAATGTGAAATTATGACCGAATTATGAAGGGTGCATAAAACCATGGGGACAGTTAATCACAAAGCAACGAAGGAGGTGAGTGAGTGACTGAGTTTTTCTTTTTTAGTTTTAGTAAGAGTTTTACGGAACTTGCAACACAATAAGGTCATATTAGTGCCGAAGATAAGAGGTGTTACAAGCGAGTAACAAACACAAGAAAAAGAAGGATGAGAGATCAGGATGATAGATGTTTGATAGGAAAAAAGGAGGAGCAAACCCCACCAGAGCACCCGCCAACCACCCAGGGTGAGTGAGTGAGTGAGTGGGGAGGTGCCGGCAGACAGAGCACATGATCCATTGACGTGACAGTGCACGCACGCAGTGGTACAACAGTCAGGGCACACGTCGCGATAACTGCTGTGTTCATTTGCAACAGACTCGGAAAAGCTGCCCTATTCAAACATCACTTCAAATTAAATACCCCCCTCCCCCCAAAAAAACAAGAAAAAAAAGAAGAAAAAAACCCATCTGCCGCTTATTGCAAGGCATATATTATGTTCAAACTGTACCCTCCTACAAATAGAATAAAAATATTTGATCTCGCACACAGAATAAAAGTCGCGCAAAAAAAAGGAAAAAAAAAAGAAAAAAGAAAAAGAAAACCAACCAACGCACCCACTTTCTACACTTGATCTAAGAGATTTCCACTCTTATTAAATTCCACTGTTAGCCCCCACCGCCCCCCCCCCAAAAAAAAAACACCCCTTCACAATAAT